ATGAGGGCCTCTGAGATGAAAAGACTGGTGTCTGTTATACCCTATACATTCATATCCTAGGGGACAAAGATACAGCAGAGAAGTTAGACCTGATCACGTATTTCTTGTCACATGATTATGATTTTACCTGAGATAATTACAAGGGGATTCATAATTAAGAATTTTCTGGATATTCTTTACAGTACACAGAAAACCTCTAAACACGGAGAAAGACAATATATAACTCATCAAGTAGAGTGATCAGGTTTATACTTTATGAAACAAGACCAATTTACACCCCTTTATCTAATTTCATGTTGTTAATAAAATAATATCATTTTATCATTCGTTATCCTGTTTTGAAATTTATGAGATTTATACAATGATCCTCATAAATATTTTACAATTTTTTTTTAACAAAACCCAAAATTCACAGGACTGCTTTGGAAATTTTCTTCCTTTTTATATGCCTTCCAGATCTAAAGTAGTAGGAACACAGAAAGGTGGACTTCTGGAGAAGAGAAAGGTAATGGCGCTCCTCTGTTTCCTCCCCTGACCTCTCCAGGGCTTGTTTCTGCAGCGCTGCCAACTGGGGCTGATCTTAGAATGAGATCATTCCCCAAACAATTGTATATCATGGACCTCCATCGTGACTGGTACAGCAAAATTAGATTAGTAGTGACAAATTCAGAATACAATACTTTATAAGTACAAATATTTAAATATGAAAAAAGGGACTAAGATCTTTCCTATGGATTAAACTATGAAAGCTCATTTTAATTATCCACAGTTATGTTTATACAGTAATTTTTTTTCTTTCCTAACACTCAACATGAGGGTATATATGGTTATTTTAGAAGGAGGAATGGGTCTGGTTTAAATTTATTCAACAAATTGTAAAGGCAAACTCTAGGGTGCACTTCTAATCTAGAGAATGTATTTCCAATCTTTCCAAATTCAAGTGCAACATGAGGAACCGGCCACTGGGTGATAAAGTCAGAAAACTTTCCACAATGTATAAACGGCAAGGCCAGTAACAGGATCCATCGGACTAAGTTTAAGCTATCCACAGAGGGGTTATTTTAAAGGATGATTTTTCTTTTTGAGGTTGAAAGATTACTTGAAAATCAATTTTGAATAAACATTATTTGATGCTTTACATTGGCACAGTTAAGAATTCAAGGGCATTCAAATATTTAATAAAACTCCCCATGATCTAAAATCAATGTACACATATGGGGTACCTCTGGAGGTGAGCAAAGCATTTGTCCGGGTTTCTTATAGTAGTATTAAAATATGGAAAAACTTCTGAAAGATGATGGTTAAATGCATTTGTCAGTAGATTATCAAAGAAAGATTGGTAATTGATCACTCACAACATTGTAGAACATTTATAGATAACTATACAAGGAATCAGTCCTTCCTCTTTTCCAAATCAGTATCTTTTTACAGGTATACATGAAATACAGACATCTAACCTGTACATTATAAGCTATGATCTGAATCAAAAACAATAGAAAAAAACAAGTTTAGATTCACCAAACACAGAAACTCCTATATGTATGTAAAAAGAAAAGTCTATACAATCACAAACAAGATTAGCAGAATCATGTGTAAAGTTTTTTAAAAAGCTTAATTATATTCAACTATAAACAACATATATGTTAACACCAAAGTTACAATAAAAAAAAATCAAAGACCATGTATATTATCAGAAATATCACATACGAAATAATGTAGGTCTTCTCTGAGAATGAAAAAAAAAAAGCATGTATATGGCACATACTTTCAATACATGCTCTTCTAAGGAGAGCTATTAAACTGAATGCTTATCCAAAGAAGTACTCAATGAAAAATGATGAAAAATCTAGAAATACTTCTCTAATCAGAGACTTATAGGGATATATAATAACTACCTAGGAAAATATGCTAATGACAATTATAAGGAAGGGTTAGATTTAAGGAAGAAAGTGTAATGTGCAAACACTATAAAAAGGTGCATCTCATGGGCCCACAACACTATAGTCTCACAACACTATAAAAAGGTGCATCTCATTGGTCTCAGAACACTATAAAAAGGTCCAGCCCCATGGAAAGCACAAACCAACTCCCCTTCTAAGTATAGGTCTTTTCTGTGAACAGTGACTAGAAGTTTCAACTTAACATATCCTTAGTGCTGACAGAACACCAGCATTAACTAAATGAAAAAATTCATACTGAAATAAGACTGTGTCCAGAAGGCAGCAGTTTATTTACTTAGGAATACTATTTGCAAATAGCATTTTCCAAAAGTTGCTACTATAAACCCTTAATCTTCTGAGTTCTCCATGAGCTTACTCCAGTAAATGAAAAGTGGCATGCCCTTTTCTTCAATTTGGAGATGTGAAATGTTCATTAGTATGCTGAAGATTCATTCAATCTGTTTAACTCTATTGATGTTTCCTAAACTTTTTAACCATATCTTTTCCAGTAGCATGTCTGGTGGACATCCTAGGGTCTTTGGGTAAATATCCCCTTAGATGAAATTATGCATTGCTCAGTGAGTTAGGTTACTGAGTCGATTCACAACTGTGTCTTTGAGGACAAAATAAAGCCTGGTATCTTAAACATTCTCAAATACTTGAAATATCTTCACTATTGCATACTTAAGAGGAAACATGTAATGCATAAATAAGCTATCTTTGCTCCCTAAAATGGTGACAGACATATATTATAGGCTTGAAAGGTTTATCTCCTTGTCCAATCTTGGTAGCTTAGAAGAGAGCAGGGTTAGCAGGTCCTCAGCTCAAAATAACAAGGGTCTGAAACCAAGCTCCAAAGGCGTCTCCTTTCCAAAAAGCCCACTTTCCCAATCAAGGAGTTTTCACAAGTGCAAAGCCACGAAGACAGGTATCCCACCCCCTAAATAGGTATGGTACGCTGGATATGGGGATACTTTCCACCAAGGTTACTAGATATAGCAGATAAAAAAACACAAGATGCCCAGTTAGATTTGTATTTCACATACATAGAAAAGTCTCGGCTCGGCGCCTATAGCTCAACCGGCTAAGGCGCCAGCCACGTACACCTAAGGTGGCGGGTTCGAATCCCCAGCTCGGACCCGCCAAAACAACAATGACGGCTGCAACCAAAAAAAATGGCCGGGCGTTGTGGCGGGTGCCTGTGGTCCCAGCTACTTGGGAGGCAGAGGCAGGAGACTCGCTTGAGCCCAGGAGTTGGAGGTTGCTGTGAGCTGTAATGCCACGGCACTCTACCCAGGGGGACAGCTTGAGGCTCTGTCTCAGGAAAAAAAAAAAAAAAAAAAAAAAAGAAAAGTCTCTAAAGCAAGTATCTTCTATGTAATATTTGGGATATATTTAACACAAAAAATTACAGTCTATCTGAAATTAAAACCTAACTGAGCATTCTATATTCTATCTGGCAACCCTTCTCCCTACGAGAAAGTCAACTGCAGTGTATACAGGCCCCCTGTCCTGGGACAATGAGTTCCAGGAATTGCACAATATAACAGGCTCCCATTTCTCTGAATTTCAGATTTGTCTCAATAAACTATTTTATATCTTCACAAAGTGGCCTCAGTAGTATATGTCTACAACTCATTTGTACAACACAAGGAAAAACACTGATTTATTTTCCCATGTAATAATCTGGAGTACCATCAGAAGAAAACAGTTTATTAAAAAAAATTATTCCCAATTGAGGATACAGACCTTATTGTTACTCTGCCAATTATCCATCCTTGGGCAAGTACTTGTGTCCTTAAGTCTTGGTTGTCCTGAATTCAATAATTCCTATAGCACTAATATTTTACAATTCCATAATACTAAGTAAATGAAAATTTGCTTTGTTCTTGATGACTAAACTAAGGTTATGCTTGCATATTTTGGAAGCGAAGGAAACCACCACCTCAACATTAAAAAATAAAACAAAACAGGGGCAGCGCCTGTGGCTCAAAGGAGTAGGGAGCCGGTCCCATATGCTGGAGGTTGCAGGTTCAAACCCAGCCCTAGGCAAAAACGGCAAAAAAATAAATAAATAAATAAATAAAACAAAACAAGGGACCAGCAAAAGATGGTCCTTATATTTAATTAAAATCTACTGTTTCAAAAGATATGTTACCCACAGGCTAAATATGCTATAAATAATTTTATAAATAATAGCTGCTGTTCATCATCCACATATAACTTTAAATACCTTCCATTTTCTAGACAGTCAGTACCAAATCACTTTTATTCAAGACCACTAAAAAAGGCACTTAACAGTTGAACTATTGGCCTCCTGTGTGGTACCTTCAAAAAACTATAAAATGCTGGTAAGTCTGATGAATAAAATCTATCCACTTTTTCTGACAGATTCTCCAAATACGTTCTTTTAAAAAGTTATTTCTTGGCATAAAGAATCTATAATGCTAGTTCATCTCCCCTTCATTGTAACTAACTATTAAACACAGTGACAATAAATGTATCTCTCCACTTACCTGCCACGCTCTGTTAAAATGTAAATGCCAGGTATTGCTTTCAAGTGATTAACATGTTGGGGGGGAAACACTTGACTAATTTAGCAAATACAAAAATAAGCAATTTCAATTATATCACTGGCCAAGAATTGTAGCCTGATAGGGTTACCAGTTAAATATAAGAATTCAGTTAAAGGTGAAATCCAAATTTCAAATTCCAAATTTGGAACATACTCACAAAAACCTTTGCTTATCTGAAATTCAGTTTTAACTGGGCATTCTGTATTTTTATTTGCCAAAACTGACACTCCTGTGTGAAATACCCATTATGAGATAATTGCCGATTTATATCATTTTTTTCTCTTAATCAAAACACTTGTTGTAATTTTTATTTTTCTTCTAGACTCAAGAATTTCTACTATTATAGCACACACTCAGATGAGCAATTTTCAAGCCACAACTTTCCTTATCATTAATACCCCTTTTCTTTTAACAAAATCGAGTTTTCACCATTAAAATTGTAGTCTATAAACATATATTCCAAAGACATCAATATTTTACCTACCTGTGGGTAACATACGAGAAGGCCACATAACAAAATATTTCTTCTCTTCATTTCCTTTGCAAATCCCCTAATCCACATTAGATTTTCCATTTTCTGACCAAGAGTTGCTAATTTAAAGTCAAGAAAATGTACCTGCAAAATATAAAAGGCAAAGTTTAGAAAAACATTTTCTCCAAAAGTCACTTAAAAAAAGCAAATAGTAAAGAAGCTCAACACACATATGATTATAATATTGCAGTTGTTTTTATTAATTTGTATTAATTTTGAGTTATGCTTCAAGCCACAAATATTTAATAACACCAATGAATCCTCCTTTGTAAGTACAGATATAGTGAAACTCACTAGGAACACAATGTTGAAAAATATAAAATGCTAATATTCTACTGCCACTTACATCAGAGTTAAATGTCTGAAAAATAAGATTTCATCAAATCATTCAAGTTAATTCATTATTTGTAACAAGGCTAGCTAGCACTATACAGTGTTATATACGCTAAAAATTTAATATAAATAAAATTCAAAGGGAGCAATTATCCAATTAAGTATATTAAGTATTTTTAAAGAATCCCTTTCAAAATAATTAGTAACTGGTATCCCCAAGAAGTAATTATTCATTTCTTAAGGAAAACCCAGAGGTCTTTTATATAGAATATTTTTAAGCAAAAGTAGTATTTTTTAAAAAATATTTAATCATTTTTTAAACTTTTATTGTTTGTAATAAACATAATATTTGTACATATTTATGTGATATATTGTGACATTCAAAGAATATATAATGATTAAGTCAAGGTATTCAGGGTATCCACAGCTCAAGTATTTATCAATACTATGTATTAAAAATATTTCAAGTCCTCCTTTTACCTATTTTGAAATGTACAATACATTATTTACTACAGTCACTTCACTCTGTAATCAAATATTATCACTGATCTCTTCTATCTAACTGTATGTCTGTGCCCATTAATCAGCCTTCCTTTACCTCCCCCCGACCTATACCCAACCCTTCCCACCCTCTGGCATCCATCATTCTACTCTCTATCTCCATGAGATCAAGACATTCAGCTCCCATCTATGAGTGGAACATACAATATTTGTCTTTCTATACGTGGCCTATTTCACTTAACATAATGACCTCCATCTCAACCACAGTCGCAATGAATGACAGGATTTCATTCCTTTTTTTGGCTGAATAGTACTCCATCATGTATATATACCATATCACCTTTATCCATTTATCCACTGATACACACATAGGTTGATTTCATATCTTTTCTATTAAAGTATCTTTTGTTTAAATTTTAAAGATGTCAGAGTGATATTCCCTCATTTGTCTAAACTATTTAGGTTTTACAATATAATCTTGTCTCTGATGAGATATAAAAGACCTTAACAACAACAACAGCGCCCAAAGAAACAATTTTTAAAATGTGAATGCACGTATAAACATTGAAATATGCATATTCTTTTGCAATATCGAATTTTGAAAACTCAATTATATTGCTTTATATGTATTTATGAACTGGAATTACTTTAACAATACCCACTCTCATACTTTTATACCAATCCTTGCTTCTACTCTGCCCAGTGTATGAAAGTGCATTCTATAGAAAACACGCAATAAAACATCTTACCATGTTCCTTATGTAACACGTGGAAAAAAATCTTGTTTCTACCTATCACACTACACTTTTTCTTCCCAGGGAAGAATGCTTAAATAATGTCTATTTTTAACGAGCATTATACAATGATGTGTAATACATATTAATTTAGTAGATATTCAATAATATTTCTTGGAACTTTTCATTAAATGTAAGTAAAGACACAAACATACAGTTACTTCCTCCTGAAATCTAAGAAGACAATAGACTTTAAAATGCCCAGTCCAGAGAAAATCTAAAGAGTAGACAAAGAGGCTCGGCGCCTGTGGCTCAAGCGGCTAAGGCACCAGCCACATACACCTAAGGTGGCGGGTTCGAATCCAGCCCGGGCCTGCCAAACAACAATAATGGCTGCAACCAAAAAATAGCCAGGTGTTGTGGCGGGCGCCTGTGGTCCCAGCTACTTGGGAGGCTGAGGCAGGAGACTTGCTCGAGCCCAGGAGTTGGAGGTTGCTGTGAGCAGTGAAGCCATGGCACTCTACCTAGGGGCTCAGCTTGAGGCTCTGTCTCAAAATAAATAAAGAGTAGACAAAGAAGGCTCCACGTTCCTAGCTCAGTGGTGAGGGCACCAGCCACATACACTGGGGCTGGCAGGTCCGAACTTGGCCCAGGCCTGCTAAACAACAATGACAAGTACAACAACCAAAAATAGCCAGGCATTGCGACGGGTGCCTGTAGTCCCAACTACTTGCGAGGCTGAGGCAAGAGAATCATTTAAGCCTAAGAGTTTGAGGTTGCTGTAAGCTGTTGACACCATGGTACTCTACTGAGGGAGACATAGTGAGACTCGGTCTCAAAAATAAATAAATAATTAAAATAAAATGAAGAGTAGACAAAGAAAAGTAAAGTTTTAGAAGACAAAAAAAAAAAGAGAGAGAGAGAGAGAGAAGGTTTAAGGATTTTCTATTTGCCACACAGTTGAATTACCCTGTGACCTTGGGTGTTCACCTTACCTAGCTTTGTTTCTCTGGAAACCCACAAAGGTGAAATTTCAGCTGTTTACCAGGCCACAGTTGCTTATGATAAAGATAACACCTGCCGGGCAAACCACAACTAGGCTAGGCTAGAAGAACTGTGAATGAACTATAAACAGTAGACCTTCTTTTGGTGTTGCTTAGCTTGTAACCAAGTGTTTCCCTACCTGGGATCTGGATGCTTAATGTTCAGGAGCTACTGCCAGAATGTTAGTTCTTGTTTGTAGCCTGAGCCTTCTAAAAGGAAGGCTCACATGCCTCATCTCACCCCTTAGCTGTCCAGGAGGAGTTGTGGGTGGTCTCACTATACTGAAGAGAGGTGGTGAGCTAAAGACATTCATCTCCACCCCACCTTTTTTTCTGTGCCCTATACTCATCTATAAAATTAAACAAACTACAGTAGTGTCACAAAGACATTTCAACCTATGAATCTGAAATACTGTGCTGAACCTAAAATTACTGGCAGGTGGCTGACCTACAAAAGGCAGGCTAATTCCCAAATTTTGGAAGTTGCAGTCATGGTAAGAACCTGAAACCAGGAGATGAGCTAAGGGTATAATAAGGTCTTCTCATGAGCCTATGCTACAAAATAGCTATGTACTTCCAGGCCTCCTGGACTGTAGAACAACCCTGTTGTTTCAAGTTAACAGTGTCAAGGCGTTAATACAATTTAACTTTCTGAACTGCATAAAACCTCTATTACTTAGATACCGTGAAGTTCCAATGGCCACCATGCCCCTCATAGTTGATGTGAATAAAGTACCTGAAAGACTTTAATGTAAAATTTAGGCAAGCTCACTGCCAGCCAGCATGGATATGTGAAGAGCCAGAAATTGCTTGTTCACTACAAATTTTCCTAAAAAAAATGCTGAGTTCTGAAAAACTCTCATACTCTGTGTGTGTGTGTGTGTGCGCGCACGCGTGCGCACGCGCATGTGTAGGGGGATAGTTTGTGGTAAAAAATAGTAAAAAGGAAAAAATATATAAGACCAAGAGGACTCTAATTGATAATTACAGACTCCATGGATATTTGGAATGCACAAAAACTAAAGAATGGAAATATTAATTATGTTAATTGGAGAAGGAATGAGGCATACTGTACAATGGTGACTAGAGCTCTGCAAGTCTGCAAAGTGAAGCTGCCATTAACATCAGCTCAAAAGGAAGCTTAAGCTCCCAGGAGCTGGGGCATCTTTCTGGAAGTCAGTTGATAGCAGGTGCTTATTTTTAATTTTCCTAACAGAATATTTGAAGGCTTCTGATTCTGGTGCATCAACCAAGTTGACATTTTTCCCCCTTTCTTCCTGAGGTTGTAATGCTACCCTATTTTGCAGACATCTATGAGCTGATGCCATTCCACATTGTATGGACCTAACTCCCCTACTTAATGACCAGACACAGCTAAGTTTTCTTAAAGAAACACATGTTATACCAAAATCATCTAAGTTGAATATAAAAACATGATATAATTATTTCTAGAGTTCCAGAAAATTCATGAGATGTCTAAAGAAAGATGATTTTCATTCAAGCTATAGATCTATAAAATGAAGCACAGCCTAGTTCCTTGAAACAAGTTAATGCCCTTAAAAAAGAAATCAACAGGCCAATACTGTTCACCACAGAGTCCATAAAATAAAGAAATTGTGCATAAAAGTGAATTCAAGGAAAATTATTTATAAATCTACAAACTGACATTTCTTTGTTATCCCTACAAACCAAGTGCTTAAATTATAGAAAAACTTGAAGACAGAGGAAAAATATTACAGGTCCTTTTCACGAATACTTACTATACTCTGAGGATTGGGCTAGTTGATACAATTAACTTTTAAAGAAACACAGATATGGATCTTAACCTTATAAAACATATAATTAGGTTAACAAAACTCAAGCACAAAGTAGGATGTATCAGAAAATTCTCTTGTACCGGACGAAAAGGGCTCATGACATCATGAAAGCAGAAGATAATCTTCAGCAGATGTTATTCCTAATACTATGAAATCTAAGTTTAAACTTTACATGGTGCTACTACTTTTGAATTTCTAAAATATTCCAATTACTTCTGTGTTTTAAGAAAAAAATATCAGTTGGTACAAAAATACAATCAATTTTAATTTCAAAAAACTAGGCAGGTTTATATAACCACAGCTGAGGGTCAGAGTAATCATGATAGCTCAGGAGAATGTAAATGTTTTTGCCTTAGTAAAACAAACTTGTAGCCTGAACAGGCTTGCATCTATTAAAATGCAGCAAAAAAATTCATCTACCATGATTTCTTCTGGTTTGCTTATACCTAAAACAAAGAGGGTTTTTTTTTTTAATGTCTTTTTTGCACTGTTCATTAATTCACTACATGGAAATTACAGTGAAACAAAGATTCCCACTTACCATGACATTTCTAACAGTTCTTTCTCATACATACATTTAAAAAGATACGGGTAGCCTTCCACCCTCCAAAAAAATACGTCTAATTTATCTAATTTCATTTTATGAAAGATAGCAT